AAACTGACGTACGATTATTACTTCATAAAATACTGCAGATCCTTTATCTTACCTCTTTCTAATCTACACACATACAAGTATTTAACTGAAGTTACACAACAGTGTTGTTGATACGGAGTTGGAGTTTATTCACACGTCACATACTACAGTGGGTAATGTTTTCAAGAAGCATTGAACAGTGCTTCCACATATGACACAGGGAAAAAAGAAAAGACTCTGAACCCTTTCTTTGCCATGATATAAAAATAGTGTTGCTACAAAAGTATAAATTAGGCTTAATAATAAGACAACTCAGATCTGAAGCTACACAGGAATCTGCTGCCAAAGTGCAATAAAAAAGACAACATTAATAGAATCAAACCCTTTTTTTGTTGCATTTTAGTAGAGTATACAAATAAATGCCTTTAAAATAGGATGCAAGCAACACTAGTTTCTTAACCTGAATTGATAATAGACTATAATCAATTTAAGTTTGCATTCTTATACCATTTTGTACAATAATTATAATGAATAAGTTCAAACAAACTAAAACTTACAGCTGAGTAATAACGGTATCTAACTAGAGTTTTTATTATATCGAAAACCTGTTGAAATGCTTCTGTTATTTTTACTGTCCCCAAAAGTGCGTCGCAGCCTCCAGGAAAGCTTCTTTCACAACTTCGCCGTCTTTGAAAGACTTCATGTGTTTCGCAAGAACGTGACTGACACGATAAGATGCTATGGGAGCAGCCTTGCTCTTGTTGTTGGGCCGGGTGAAAATGGACTGCTGTGCATTTAGCTGTCCTTTCAGGCCCCTCCCCTTTTGGAGCGTAGGGCAGAATTAGGAGGGAATTCCGTCTCGTAGCGTTTGTGCACTGTTTTGAAATGCCGCTCCTAAATGACCCTTCTTCGATAAAGCCACGCTCGCATTGCAGATGAGACAGATGGACTTTGAATTGGAATAGATACAAAAATAATCATCCTCCCACTCGGAGTGAAAACTATATATTTTGGGCTTTTTTGCTTCTGCCATAATTGCGGTCTTGTGTGTGGACTGTCACTCCTGTTGACACGGACAACGTCAGCGAACTAGTGCACTGCCCACTGCCCACCAGCCACGCCCCGACACATTGGGGTCACGCCGGCCAATCACAAAGCTTTGATGCGTTCAAGTGCATTATTCTGGCACAGTAAAATTATGTTACATGACATAAACGATAAAACAGAATATTGTTGTTCTATTTTTAGACATCTCGCGATCGACTGGGAATCTTCCCGCGATCGACCGGTTGATCGCGGGGAGATTCCTAAACCCCTGGTTTAGACAGTTAAAAAGGTCAGTAAAATAGAGAAAAATTCAGATGAAAGTTGACTGCTGGGGTCAGAGAGTGTTTGCCTTATTTTAGTTCGATAAGTAACTTGGATAATGACTGAAAATAGTAGCATGGATTGAGTAATTTTCTGTATCAATCAATATGGGTACATTCTAGGGGTGTAACGGTATACGTATTCGTACCGAAATTATTCGGTATGGGCCCTTCGGTTCGGTACAGGTGTGTACCGAAGTGTACCGAACTAATATAATGTTAAACGTAAAAAATTGAGAACATGAACAACTTCTTGGAAGTAATCTCAGGTGCTGCGTCGCAGCATTCAGAGTAATTTGCTCACATTGGGTTCAACGCGTCAGAGCGACCAAGTCATTTCATTGGACGAGAGGCATACTATGAGAGCTGGTCAGAGGGATGCGTTCAAATTTAGTCAGTAATTTGAGGAACTGGCGAAATGGCGAACGCAGATAAAGTTGAGCTCGAAAATCCTCCAGCATCATTGAAGTCTCCGGTTTGGGAACATTTTGGTTTCGCAGTTACGTACAAGGATGACGGACAAAGACAGGTGGACCGAACCAAAGCTGTTTATCGGCATTGTTCAACTAAAATTGGTTACGCGGCTGGCAATACATCAAACTTGCACACTCATTTGAAAAGGCATCACCCGAACGTGAATATCACCGGTACCAAAAAAAAAAAAAAAAGGGGCAAACCCAACTCCCGCTAGCATTTAAGCCTCCACCACTCGCAGAGAGTTCAGACCGAGCCAAAGCTATTACAAACGCCAAATATCCTTATGTTACCATGTTAGCAAAGCGCTACCTGGCTGTATCTGCTACCTCTGTCCCTAGCGAGGGGGTGTTCTCCACAGCAGGAGACATTGTTAGTGCCAGCAGATCTGCCCTTTCGGCAAAACAAGTTCATTTTTCTTAAAAAAAAGCATGAAAATACAATGACAAGCAAGTCATAATGTCAATGTGGCTGCTTAGGTATTTATTTGACATTACAGTTCAAATACAGATTATTTCAGTTCATCGAAATGCTGCACCTTAATGTTTATTTTATTATATTTTGTATTTATTTGAGTGAATATTCACAGTTTAATAATAATTTAAAAAATATATATATATTTTATGTTTTGTGATAATTTTTTCTGCTGTACCGAAAACGTACAGAACCGTGACCTAAAAACAGAGGTACGTACCGACACACTGCAGTTGGATCTTTGTATGCAACAGTCCTCTGGAAAGAGCCTCATTAGATAATTTCACTCTTAATGTTTCACAGGCTCTTATACCAATTGGATCTGGGTGCAGGCCAGTTGCACATAATCCTGCAATGACACAGCATTCCCACATCCAGAGCCTCTGGTCCGAGGTCAGCTCACCTGACTGTACTGCCATGCCCAGGGAGCACAAAGGCAGATCACAGATCAGCAGGATAACTGTCCTGCTTTGGCTACAGCAGCAGCAGCATTAGGCATGACTTAATTCTAACCGGTTTCATCAGCGGATAGAGGAGCTGCACGTAGCTCTCACTGCACGCTCAACATCTGAGTGGATCATCACAGTGCAGCACATGCAACTGCAGGGGGAAGGGGGCTGAACTAATATACAGTCCCTGGTAGTTCTGTGCTGCTTTCCTTCAACATGTATCCCGCTCATCCTTCCATGCAAGATATTACTCTGATCTGCAGTGACATTCATCCGTTTGCATCTTACAATTTATTACTACAATAGTATTTTATGTTTACATTATGATCTTGTGTATCGTATTCGATTTGAATGTATATAGACTCCTGCATTTACTTGTTTACTTACAACTCTGCATAATTTAGTTTATTGAATTTATATGTTTTTAACTCATTCTGCATTACCCGCACATTGGTCCGCTGCAACTCTTACTACTTTTAAATCCAGGCTGAAGACTTATCTTTTTGTCGCTGCTTTTAATTGAATCTGAGCCGTTGTGTTCATCAGTAAAGTGGAACTTATGTGTGAACTATTCATATTTTAAACTGCACTGTAACTTTTTATTCATGTGATTTTTATTCATGTACTTTTTATTCATGTATTTTTTTTTAAACGTTTATTTTATTATCTTTTTTTTAAATGCCTTTGTCTGAATGTCTTTCATTTTTGTAAAGCACCTTGAATTGCCTTGTGTTGAAAGGTGCTATATAAATAAACTTGCCTTGCTTTGCCTTTGCAAGATAATCTTGCACTCATTTAATATACTCCGTTTCTTCTTGCACTATTGTATTGTTTTTAAATTAGTTTTAGGTCTTATATATTATGTTGCATTGTTGCAGGAGCCTGGGCCTTAAGATTTGTATTGCCATATCTACACCGTAGGTACTGTGCGTATGACAATAAAGCCTTTGAATCTTGTATACATGTTGAATTGCATCTAAAATGACCAAAAGATTGCTTTTATTTAAAAAAAGATTAAGGGGAAGCATTGGTTTTGTCTTTCATATGCCCCTTTTTTATCTCACAGGGTTATTTTCTCATGTGTGTACATTGCTTATTCTAAAAACACCCCTCCTAGACACTCTGTATGCAGCCAATGTGTTAATAACCGGACAATTATTTATTTATATTCTCTTTTCATTTGCATTGCCAATGAGGTGGCACAGAGCGTGAGATAGTGTGGTTGACATGTTTTTATATGGAGGTCATAGAAGCTCATCCATCCTTTATACAAGAATATTTACTTTTTCTTGATTTAGACAGATATTTTTGGTGTTATTGTTTTATAACCAAATACTGCGTCTCTTTCTACTTGACATCCTATTTGGAGCAAAAGTTGTTTTCTAATGATGCAGATCCACAGACATGCCATGCAATAGCCACTGTAGGTTAAGTCAACTGTAATTAATGTAATGCATTGCAATGGCAGTTGGCCATATTAAAATGATTAACTGTATTATTTGAATACTGTACATTTCAAGCTCAGTAAAAATAAAGTAGGCTAATGATAGCAAGATGATACAGTACATTTGCTCAACTTATTTTATACTGCCTGGGGTGAGACAAATAAACTGTGATTCTATTAAGATGTATACTCAAGTTTAACATAATCTCACGCCTTTCGCTTTACAAACCTGTTCTAGTCATTTCACATTCACTTGTATTCCTGGTTCACACAATTTCCTGCTGCCCATTGAGGCATAAGACTGAATGAACAGCCTTCATACTAAATGTAAAGCCTTTCTGCACGATATTGACTCAACAGGCAAGGAACAGCGAAATATAAGTGACAACATTTACCGATAACAAATGTAAAAATGTCCCCGACGAAACACAGACCAAATGAAGGGCAGAGCAGCGATAGCGATATGCAAAGTAACCTTTTGTATCACAGAGAGGAGAGCAAAGGCTCGGCGAAAGAACAATGTGTGCTAGCCCAACGGAGGAAACCAACAATACGACACCATATAAGAATAAATACATAGAAACACACAAAAACCAACTCGTTATGACTGCTAAACTGGCTGCAAATGTGTGAAGAATAGCAGTGTTGTGAGCGGCGGTCAGTGGGGGGAGGGGGATGGAGGATGGAGTCAGGCTTCGGCGGCCTGTCCCCGCTTCAGCCTGTCCAGCAACAGTGTAAAAGCTTCTAAATGTTCTATTTAACACTAAGAAACATTCATATTTCCAACCACCAACAGCTTCGTTACTGACTTACCGGACGGGTTGACCGCGGCGGGAGTTGCCATGTTTCCTCGCTGGAGAAAAATAACAAAACGGCAGCGATGGAGATGACGCACAATACGGCGAGAGCAGCCCGTGAGAAAGCGTCTAAACTCCGCGGGATTGGCACGCGAGGCTCGGTCCGACCGCCTTACATCTGTTAGCTTAGAGGAATCTCGGTTCAAAGGACCCCAAAAGAAGCCTGTTTATACCGAGCATATATATAGATAAAGTATATGTTTAATGAGGAAAAATCTCCAAAACCAGATTTAGTAAAATGCAAGATGTCTGAATGGTAGCACCGCGAGATTTTAGGGTTGCTTGAATAAATTAATGTTATACAGTGTGACTGCTGCAGTGAAGAATGTGATGCAAAGCCGGGTGGTGTTGAGTGTAGGCAGATGCTGTGTGGAGCGTGTGTTGATATGTATTCAGTTATTTAATCGTTTATTTGAACCGGGACAGTGCACATTGATGAACACTTTAAAACAAAAATAATGCTTACAAGTGTAAATGAGCCGGATTTTAGTTTTGAACTAATTTCCATCCGTAGTCCCGTCACACAGGGCCGTATCCAGGATTCCCTAAATACCGAGGTCCAAACATGTTAGGGGGGTTCGGGGGATACCCCCCGAGATTTTTGGGATTTTCATGATCTAGTTAGGTGCTTTTTAAGTCCTGTGGGGGGTCCCACATTGGATAATATATTGATTTCAAACCATGTCAGTGGGCTGACAATGTCAGCATCAATTATTTTTGAAAGTGTAATGCATAAGAATCAGTTGATTGTTACTATTAATGATCTGGACATGCAGAAGAGGCTAAAATGATCACAACACATTGTCAACATTCATTGTCCATGTCTCTCTCCTTTCTATAACCTGCAGCCTCTCTTCCATCTTCTTGAGTCTCTCTGTCTTCTTCCTGTTCATTACTCTCTCTGTCCTCTACTCTTTCTCTTTGTTCAATCTCTCCCTCGTTGTTTACTTTTTGCTCCTCCTCACTTGTCGCTCCTGCCAGTGAATTAAAAGCAATTCAGCCATTTAGTTCATTTCACTTGTTTGTTTGCATTCTTTTTTTAATTTAAATCTGTTTTGTTTGATTCTCAAAAGAGAACAAAGATGTAAGCAAATTGTGTTTTATACAATTGTATGTTATTATGACATAATAACTGCAATAGATGTATGTTGTTTAAAAATGATGCCTATTGTAAATGAAGACTATTGTTATAGATAAACCAGATAGATAAATAGATAGGGTTATTAAGCATACATTATTTTGTGTGACTGTACCTGCAGTTCCTCCCTGACTACCATCACTTTCTCTCTCTCTCTCTCTTCCTTACCAAAGCTGAGCTTCGACTGACGTAGTCTCTTCATTATATCTGAGTCAGTGTAAAAAGAAAACAATACAATGTTATATCTTCAATGTTTTACTCAAATTGAAATAAAAGAAAAGCATTATACGTTTGTTAAAAGGTAATCCTTCTAACATTGGATGAATGTAATTAACTGTAGCTCTCTAGCTAGTTTATTCACGCAATTTAAACCAAAGTATAGCCTGTAGTTGCAATATAAGTTAGTGTGCATGTTGTCGGACGTCCACTGACTAACGTAGAGCGTTCACACAGGATCTGCTGGTCATATGATGTCCTGATGAACAGAAATACAAGCAGCCCACTGGACTCAGGTCTCTAGATACTTCATCACTCCTCCACTGCTCCGATACAAGTCCGGGCTGCGGTGGTTTGTTGATACATGTCGTCTTCTTCTGTTTGCTTTAATCGAGGCTACGTAGTTATGCAGCGCCCCCATCGGCAGTAAATTGGAAGTACTACAAAGAACCCCGTTTAGTGCAATTATTTCACAAGTTTTGTTATACACAGCTCGGAAAATATTACCGAGGTCCGGACCTCGGTGACCTCAATGGTGGATACGGCCATGCCGTCACATACAACATTATAAGAACGTGACATGTACATAGCAAAAATAAATATCCAGGAAGAGCATGAGCAGCACACAAGCATTTACCACATGACAGTAGCCTACAATGTAGCAGCTATAGCCTATGATATATAAAGCGCAAGATAAGATAAAAGTGCCACATAAAGAGCAAGAGGAGATACCCCTGTATTAAAGTGCATTTAGCAGTGATTACACGTCTGTTTGTGGCTCAACCATTCTTTAAGTTGTCCTTTAAAACTATTGAGAGTGGGACAATCCTGTATCTCAGTTGGGAGGCTATTCCACAATGAGCTGCCTTTAATGGAGAGTACATTTTGTCCAAAAGTTGTCCGTCTATGATGGACTTCACAGTCTCCTCTGGTTTCTGACCTAGTGCAGCCTCCATTGTGGTTTTTGTGGGTGAATTCCCCTGAGGGAGTGGGGGCCAGTCCATGTAAACATTTATTAAAAAAACACATACTTTTAAAAGACTTAAAATTGTCAAAACTCAAAATTGTGTTTCTCAAGGATGGCACAGTGGTGGTATGCATTTGGCTTTCTGTAAAAAACCTTGATAGCTCTCTCGTACAGCTGTTCTATTTGTTTCAGGTTTGTGGCACAATCAAACGACCAGTTTCTTAAACAGTATTCAATGTGGGATAGGATCATACATTGAATACTCCTCCTCATGCTATTAAAAGCTGCCCGGTTGATAGTGGTGCCAAACTGTTGTATTCTAGCAAATAAATACAAGAGTAAAGAAACATAGGCTACTGCAGTTTGACAATAAAAAAGAATACAGAAAACTATTTATAAACCATCAAAAAAGTAATTTATTACAACTTACAAACCATTTTGAAAGGATGACTTAATATAAAGTGGTACTATCATTTATCATAGTATGAGTAATAATAAAAAATACTCAAAGCTAAAGTAATAATCATAACAATACACCAGAGCCCAACTAACACAGTTTAAGATAACAATAGTTGGTTAGATGTTTTTATGTTCTGTGGGCTATAGCAATTTCAACACAATACACCTCACATATGTTATGTTTTTTGTTTTCTTTGTACTGTTTCTGTTCTGATTTTATGTAAAGCGTCTTTGAGCATTAGGAAAAGCGCTATAATAATCCCATGTATCATTATTATATGTTGTGAATTATAATATGTTGTTTTAAGACCTTTTTTTTGGCTTGTGTTTACTATTTTTTCTGTTTTAGACTTATTGAGTGTTTATGTTATTATCTATTTTTGTCCGATTCCTTTTTTATACTTTAGGTTAGTTTTCTTATTGTTTAGTGGGAATCTTTAAACGTTACATTCCTGACTTCCTAAAAGCACCAAACATACATACATTGTAAATAATACTAGGTACCAAAGCAGGACCCCACCTTAATTTCAGATGATCAAGTGCAACATTTCCAAACACAGGTTATTTTCAATTAGTACTCTTGAGAGACGGGAGGGCTGATCATTTATTCCGGCAAATTACTCACACCTACTAATTGACCTAACAGAAGTTATTGAGTCTATGTAAGTTTACTGCTTGGCTCAGATCCACCAACGTCAGCAAGATCTCACCTCTATTAACTCCTGAAGAACCAGGTTCAATTAACTGCTGTTTCAATTCAGACGACCCTTTAAATCTGTTTAAGCGATCCCGAAGGATTTTGATATCAGTAATGAGGTGTGGCCCTACCTAAGTGTGAATGTGGCAGTGTGCAATCTTACCTTTTAAGCAGGAGAGCAGAGCGCGGATGTCTTTTAAGTTGTCCCAATTCAAAAGGTGGGATCAGTTTATTTGAAAACAAATTGGTCCACAATTCTCTCGTTACAACATGACAATAATATTAAACCTATCATGCGGTGGTCATTTTCTAATCTGAAACCTTAATTCATAGTTTAGACATTAAAGTCTTCCAACAGAATCCAGAGGAATCTCCTCACGGATCGAAGGTGCTAATATTCAAACCTATAGCCTGACAATATTCAGAGGCAGTTCCTCATAAATGTTCAGTAGGATCTAACAGTTTCAAACGTTCATCCAACAATTCACTCAGCATTCAATAAACAGAAATGTAAGCAATATTTACCAGGTTTGAGAGAATCTTACCGAGGGAAATTACACTCAAATTAACAAACTACTTTGTTTATACTGTAAATATAGAAGATCATAACATATGAAGCATTTTCATTTATATATAATATAATTGATTATATGTGATTATAATTAACTTTCGTTTTAAGTATTCAACCTAATATGGAGATCTCAAGAGTATACACCCATTGTCTTATACTTATCCCGGGGCTTTTGGGGCCCTCAGATCTAGGGCCAGTTGCCCACTTTGCCCAGTTGGTAGTCCAGCCTAGTCAAAGAGGACATGACAAACAAAAAATCATATATTTAGCAATAAGTGGGCAGAGAAGCATCTTAATGGCAGATACAGAAATATCAGCTTGTTGGTATAGCTTATGATAGCAAATAACTGTTGACTCATATCCAGAGGACATGAAGGATGAAAGCAAGGCCAATATATTTTTAATCTATGTTTTGATCTACACAACGTTTTTTTCTATATCGTTTTACTCTCAAACGATCTAATTAAAAGGGCTGCACCAACAACGTGTTTATTTGCCTCTCAATACTTTCAGACTTCCATAGTAGCTATCAGCTCCTAGTCCAAATGGCCACAGAGTGAAAAAAAGGTGTTGCTATACTGTGTGTTCTATTATTGGCCTCCACACACTTTGCCAAAAACCACTCGGTTGGATTCCTTTGCTTACTTTCACAACATAGTGACATCACAATGTAACACTTTCGCTTCTATTGGCTAGCACTCCATACACTTACGTGATAGGCTAAGGGGCGGGACATCTCTAAGCTGTTGACCAATCACAACAGAGCTGACCAGCTAACCAATCAAAAATAAAGAGCTTTTTGAACATTAAAGCATGGAGACATGTCCCAGTAGAGGCACTAAATACTAATATACACCTGAACATGAGCAGAATATGTCCTCTTTAATAGTTTTTGAACAATAAAGTAGCTCTATGGCACAAAGGAAAACTTAAAGAGCAACTTGCAGGTTAGAGACACCAGTGAATAAATGTGTAGGAAAATGATGTATACACTAGATTTTCAAAAAAATATACAGAAATATACAGAAATATACACTACAGTGACATCTGGCGTCGTTTTTGTAAGACATTTTTACTTCCGCATAAAAAAAGCCTCCCCACGTGACCTCCCGCGTGTGACGTAACATGGGGGAGAGCGGCCGGTCTAACGTATGAATAAACATGGTTCACAATGCTAGTTTTGACACAGAAGAGGTTGAAAATATATATTTGAATGCATATGATTATAATTAT